TGGTCTTTGATCTTCATCAGTAAGCGCTTCAAGTCTTCTTCACTTTCAGCAAGCAAGGTTGTGTCATCTGCATAACGCAGGTTGTTAATGAGTCTTCCTTCAATCCTGCTGCTCCATTCTTCTTCATATAGTCCAGCTTCTTGGATTATTTGCTCAGCATACAGATTGAATAGGTATGGTGAAAGGATACAACCCTGATGCACACCTTTCCTGACTTTAAACCACACAGTATCCCCTATGTACAGGTTCCTCATGAGTACAATTAAGTGTTCCGGAATTCCCATTCTTTGCAATATTATCCATAATTTGTTATGATCCACACAGTTGAATGCCTTTGCATAGTCAATAAAACACAGGTAACCATCCTTCTGGTATTCTCTGCTTTCAGCCAGGATCCATCTGACATCAGCAATGACATCCCTTGTTCCACGTCCTCTTCTGAATCCGGCTTGAATTTATGGCAGTTCACTGTTAATGTACTGCTGCAGCTGCTTTTGAATGATCTTCAGCAAAATTTTACTAGTATGTGATATTAATGATACTTTTCGATAATTTCCACATTCGGTTGGATCACCTTTCTTTGGAATAGGCATAAATATGGATCTCTTTCAGTCAGTTGGCCAGGTAGCTGTCTTCCAAATTTCTTGGCACAGATGAGTGAGTACTTCCAGTGCTGCATCCGTTTGTTTAAACATCTCAATTGATATTCTGTCAATTCCTGGGGCCTTGTTTTTCGCCAGTGCCTTCAGTGCATCCTGGACCTCTTCCTTCAGTATCATTGGTTCCTGATCATATGCTACCTCCTGAAATGGTTGAACATTGACCAATTCTTTTTCGTATAATGACTGTGCATTCCTTCCATCTTCTTTTTATGCTTCCTGCGTCGTTTAATATTTTCCCTGTAGAATCTCTTGATATAGCAACTTGAGGCTTCAATTTTTTCTTCAGTTCTTTCAACTTGAGAAATCCTGAGCTTTTTGGTATTCTAACTCTAGGTCTTTGCACTTGTCATTATAATACTTTACTTTGTCTTCTTGAGCCACCTTTTGAAATCTGTACAGCTCTTTATAATTTCTTCCATTTGCTTTAGCTACTCGAAATTCAAGAGTAAGTGTCAGAGTTTCTTCTGACATCCATTTTGGTCTTTTCTTTCTTTCTTTAATGACCTCTTGCTTTCTTCATGTATGATGTCCTTGATGTCATTCCACAACTCATCTGGTCTTCAGTCGTTAGTAGTCAACGCATCAAATCTATTCTAGAGCTGGCTTCTTAGCTCAAGTAGATACATGAGACTAAATGGGCAGCTCCTGTCCAGAGGTGAGATGAGAAGGCACAGAGGGTCAGCAGCTGGTTGAATGGAAACGGGAAATCAGGGGTGGAAAGGAGGAATGTGCTGTCACAGTATAGGGAGAACAATTAGTGTCACATAACAACGTACGTATAAATTTTTGTTTAGAGACTAACTTGAATTGTAAACTTTCACTTAAAGTACAACAATAAAATTTTAAAAAATCCATTATTCTTGAGATGGTCTCTAAATTCAGGTGGGATATACTTAAGGTCATACTTTGACTCTCGTTGACTTGTTCTAATTTTCTTCAGCTTCAACTTGAACTTGCATATGAGCAATTGATGGTGTGTTTCACAGTCGGCCCCTGGCCTAGTTCTGACTGATAATATTGAGCTTTTCCTTCATCTCTAAGATAGAAGAGACCCTAAATCTATGTCCCCAACTTACTTGGGTTTCTCTCCCCCACTTTGGTAAGACAAAGGCAGGTCTAATCAACCTCCCTCATATTCTAGGACTACCAATGCTGCCTGAGTGTAAGAAAGAATGTTAAGAGATAAGATTCAGATATTCTTCTACTTCCTCTACCTTATGCTAAGAGAAGTGGAAACACAGGATGGGGAAGATTCAAGAATGGACAGGAGTCCAAGCTTTGGGCAGCCTATCTGAGGATCCTGGCAGGAAAAGAAGCATGAGAATAGGGAATAGTCCCAGGCTCAGCATTCATAGAGACATAGCTTCTCCTTGCATTGGTCAGTATTGGGTCTGAGGAACCCCTGGATTCCCTCCCCAGAGTCTTGTGTTCCTAGGGTGATAGACAGCACTCTCAGGTCCTGCAGTTAGGGTTAAATCGGTCTCTTCCTACTGACTCTTATTAGGGTAGGTTGAGGAACCTCCCTGCCCTCCAGGACACTAAAGCAAATAAAGACTTGTTGGGAACAAGGCAAAAGCCTTTCAGGTTGATACTAGGAAACCAGAACTCCTTATTTTTAGGTTTCTAGTCCCAGAATGACCTTGGGGGAAAAGGTAGGCCTCAGCAGGGGAAAAGGCAGTGGAAAAGGGATCACCACTGGTCTGGCCAGATTAGCTAATTGTGCTATTCCTATCTAGCTCATTTCTTTTTTCTGTCATCTAGCAGATATGATATCTGAGGGGAGATCGAGAGGACCTGCCCCACTTCCCCTTCCTCAGTCAGAAATCTCTAGGTGGCCTGCTTGATTTGAGTCCTGGCTTGTGACTTTGATCTCTGCTGCAGGGATTATCTCCCTATTTGCTAGCTGATGGAATTGCTGATTCTCCTACCACTTGGGCTTAAGCGGTTTCTTGGAAACGACTGGCCAGATGCCTGAGGTATCTTTAGCCTGCCCAGGCTGAAAATAAGGTGGGAAAATCCAGCAGATGAAATGACTTCAGCAAAAACTAGACATGTCCTAAACTTTGTTCTCAGAACTATCTGGACTGTCAAGTGAATCAACATCAGCCCCCATTGTGTGAGAGCTAGAATGGTTCCTACCGGACATCTAATCCAAATTTATGTTCACACATGAGGAAAACGAGGCTTGAAGACTTGACATGGCTTTCCCAACAGCACAAAGCTATGGAGTGGTGAAACCAGGACCATAAATAGTACTTTGCCCTCTGCCCTGGGCTGTCCAGTTGAGGTAGCAGCCCTTCCCCTAGGCTTAGTTCCTAACCAGCCGACACCTACAACCCACCCTTCCTTCCTTTCAAAGTTCAAATGGCAATAAAAATGAATTGAGGCATAAGTTAGAACTCTTCCTCACCAAACCATGGTGACCAATCACCCTATCCACTTGACCTCTGACCCTCCAATTTCTTTGTTATCCACTCCCAATCTTTTAAACTGCGTGTTGCATCCCAGTCTCCCACTCAGCCTTCCCTTAAACCACTCCAGTCCCTGTGCCTAAGTTCAGACCCCACTCTCCCCAAGGTGGAAGGGGATCAGGAAGCTAGAGATGAAACATAGGGTAGGGAAGGATAGGATTCTTGCCAGAGAAACTACCCTGTCTGGGGTCACTAGGCTGTGTGTGTGGGAGTAATCTGTTCAATGTAAGCAGGCCCTAGCAGGCAGGAAGTACGCAGCTGAGCAAGCACCATGTGGGTCCTCTGTAAATGTTTGAAAGCAGGGCCTCGACTCCTAACCTTTCAGGTGGTTCTCCAGAGGGAATAGGAGCCTGGTCCTCTTTACTGGGCCTTAGGACTCGCCTGCCCAATAGTACCTATGGAAAGTAGGGGAGAGGTCGGTGAAAACAGTCCAGCACATGCCTGGAACTACTCTGGACTTTGGGGAGGCTGCTGGGTCCCTTGTCTCTGGCTTTGTTCAGCAAGATCACCTGCCAGGAGGGGCAGGAAGCCAGACAAGGCAGAGTCCAAGAATAGTCTGATCTTTCTGACTCTGTCTTTGAGGCAGCACAACTGATCCTAAGTGGTCATTCCAACCTTTGTCCTCCTTTCTCCAGCTTCATGGGAAATGGATGTGTATGTATAGACGTAGGGGACAGGGATATGGTTCCAATCCCCTCTACTCTCTCTCCTCTAGGATCTTCTTTGTTCCTAGTCTTTTAAGTTCCTAGGCCTGCTTTAGGTGGGATTTAGGGGATAGCTGTGCTCCCAACGGAAACCCTGGTGGCATAGTGGTTAAGAGCTATGGCGTCTAACCAAAAGGTCAGCAGTTCAAGTCCACCAGGCGCTCCTTGGACCCTATGGGGCAGTTCTACTCTGTCAGGGTGTCAGAATCTCAATGGCAACAGGTTTGATGGTTTGGTTTTGTGCTCCCAATATAGGCACAGATATATAGCTGACAGGGTTAGGACTGGTGTGTGTGTTGGTAGGGATAGGGGAGAAGGGCAAAAGGAGAATTTTCAATGTCTTTTACTTTTTTTGTTTCTTGATTTCTTTGTGACTACAATCACAGGCCGAAGTATGATTTGGGGAAACCCCAGTGTCATGTCCCCTGGCCCTTCCCCCTACTTCACTCACACAACACCTCAGAGAGCTAGAAAAGGAAACAAATCAATCATCACAAATTGCTCAATAACTCTGGAATGTTCTATTTCTATTCCTGTTTCCTCCTCTGTTCTCTTGGCTGTGTCTACCACACCCTAACCAGGCTTTCAAGGTGCTTTCTCTCAACAGAGTCACAGCCTCTCTTCATTTCTTACAATGGGCTCAGAAATACGTAAGCTTAGACTGCCAGTCTCTATCACTTGATGTTGTAGGATATTCAGTCTGCTGTTGGGAAATTTCTTGAAGGTTCTCTCGCTGTATCCCATCTTATGGCTTTCAAATGCTCTGTAGGGCCGCTATGACAGCACCCTAGATATCTCTGCCTGCTTCCTCATTCGGTCTCTATTCTGGACACGCGGATCGTCCGTGACTGTTGCATGTCAAGTGGCTGGAACCAATCAGCTTACCAGAGGCTTCCTCAGAAGCCAATCAGAACCTAGGGAAGTGACCTCACCCAAGGGAGAGCTGTGTGGGAGAGATAGCATCACCCAGAGCTGTGAGTGTCCCTAAGTCACTCCCCTCCTCCCCACCTTCCTTACTTCCTGTAAACCAACATCGCCTACCCCTCCCCCACCCCATCCCAACCAGAGAGGGCTTAGAAGGAAGTAGAAAAGCTAAATAAAATCCACAAAGGGAACAATCAAAAGAGAAACTGCAACTCGGTCACACACCCTCTTCTGCCAGTGGAAAATAGGGCATTTCGGGGTTACCCCCTGTACCAATATACCTTTCAAACTAGGGTCTTCCAGGGCCTGGAAATAGGAGTGTGCTGAAGAAGAGTCAGCACCTCCTCCCTACTCCCTCCCTGCATCTGGCTTTCTTGACTCTCACCATAAAAATAGCTGTAATTATTCCTTGTAAACAAGGACAAGATCAAGGTCAAGTGTGGGAAAGAGAAGGCCTGTGTCCCTGTGAACATGTGTGAACAGAGACAGTCAGCAGGTCCGAGAACCAGGGGCTCAGAAGCCAGCTGGTCTACTGCCTTTATACAGGGCACAGGCTGTTCTCTTTCTCTACTACTCACTCTGTGCAGCCCTGCAGATGAGCTCCTGCATGTGCCCTGGCAGGGCTAGATTGGGAGTGCGTGTCCTACCATGGGGGAAGGAGCAAAGGACAGGAAGGCTGTCCTTTTATTTTTATTTATTTAGTTATTTATTTTATTTAAAAATATAAAACTGGCCTTACTCCTCCGAAGTGTTCCCACCCTTCAATTAGCTCCACAAAGAGCTGTAAAAATGAGTATGGGTCAACTGTCTCAACTCTAACAACCCAGGTTTTTCTTTTTTCGATTCTCCTTTCTCCCTTTTATACAATTAGGACATTGGTCCTTTGCCCTCTCCACAGGATATCAGAGGTGATACAAGGGTGGAGGGAGGGGAAATGTAGAAAAGAGAGCTACCTGTTGTCATCTACACTCCCAAGTCCAGGGACCAAAAAGGTTATCTGGACTCTGAGAACAGTCAGAGGAATGACTTGCTTATCCACAAAACCAAATATTAGGGACGGTTATTCTCTGCATTTCAAATCCAGAAAGATAAGAGGATTTGGCATATTGTTTAGGGTCCTTCTTCAGTATATAGCCTCATCCATGTTGTCATCACTGTCACCCCCAAAGTCTTCTCCATTGTCAAAATATGACATGATGTAATCAGTTTCCTAAAATGGGTAAAAAGAGGTAAAAGTCAGGCATGCTTCTGGCATTCTCTTTCCTCCCTGTGTACCAGGCCCCTTTCTTCCTTCCCATCACATCATTCCAGGCCTGAGCCTTTCTTTCCTGCTGAAGCTCACTGTTGAGAAGAGCCTAGGGACAGAGGAAGTGAGGGGAAAAACCTCTACCCTTTGGGGGCACTATCTCCTTTGGCCCTCCAACCCTCTGAAGAGAATATCCTTGGTGGAAAAGGAGTTGAGATCCCCTAAGATTATAAGGGGAAGGGAGAGGAGCCAAAAGTGGGAGGAGGTCCCCTTCACCTCTTCATGTTCTTCTTCATCATACTCTTCTTCTTCCTCTTCCTTCTCCTCTTCTTCTCCTTTCTCCTCATCTTCCTCTGAAGTCACTTCTTCCTCCTTTTTCTCCAGGGTCTTATGTGAAGATGAATAGGAAGGGATACACAGATTCAGCTCCCAGAAGAGAAAAACTGCAACACACACAGGCCAAGGGAGAGGGAATAGATCTAGGGCCCAGGTGGTCTTTATGAACACTTCCTCCTCACCTCTAGTTTCTGTATTGTTTCCTCCTTATCTTCTGGGGTCTTAGGGGGCCTCTTGGGAAGTAGGATAGTGGTCCCTGGTGGGGGAATCAAAACGTGAACCATCAGAGGGCAAATCTCCTTGCTAGCCTTTTACCACACCCTCCTTCCAGGACCATGTCACTCTGCTGCCCTCATGTGGACACCAAGACATCCAACAACAACATGTAGACAGTTGGGTAGGAAATGGGAAAGCAGGCAAGACCACCAGCAGCTTCAGCTCTCAAGCTGATGAAGGAAACTTCACTTCTTCCATTTTTCCAGATACACTCACGCTCCTTCTGCAGCTTCCGCACCCGGATCTTTAGCTCCTGGGGTAGACGTCGCCAGTCTGGGAATAGGGGGAGTGCATATGTCAGTGGGACCCTACCTGGGGTATCCTATGAGTGATGACTGGTTTTAAAGGAAGGAAAGGTGAGGGTAAGGGTGGGGAACAAAAGGGTTAGGTCAAAGTTGTTCTGAGCAAAACTGTGGCTTGGATATCTCCAGGGGAGCGGAGGCTATTTAATAAGATTTTCAGGTAGAGTCTGGGATGTTTGGGGGCACATCTAATGGCTCCAGTTCACAGACACTGTGGACAAGGTGATGGAGTGGGTAGTGAGAAGGGAGTGGCTTGTGGTTTGAGACATCTCAAGCATTTGAAAGAAGAGCCTTCATTGAAAGGGTCCATCACCTACCAGGGTTCCAATCGATGGCGTTGTCAATTGGCCCTGACATCTGATATTTGTCCGAGTAACGCTCCACATCTGAAGGGTCAGAGGTCAAGAGTCAAAGCTTTATCCCTTCAGACCTCTATAACAGTGTTGTTCTTAGGGGCCCAGCCCTCTCAATACTCAGGAAGTGTCTGTCCCTTCACCCCAAACCAGAGCCCAGGGGGTCAGCTTCAGTATGAACCTTCAACACAATTGTAACCAGCCCCTTTACCACCTAAAATTACAATAGATTTTTTTTTTTCCTTCCCAGCCCAAGGTATGGCTATCTTGAGAGGCAGCATGTTACAGTGGAAAGTATACTGTTGTTCTTAGCTGCTGTTTAGTCAAATTGCTCCCAACTCATGCCATTGTAATCCATAGGGTTTTCATTGCCAATTTTTCTCCATCTTAGTCTATAAGCTTTGCTGAAACCTGTTCAGCATAATAGCAACACACAAGCCTCCACTGACAAGATGGGTGGTGGCTAAACTCGAGGTGCATTGTCAGGGAATTGAACCTAGGTTTCCCGCATGGAGGGTGAGAAATCTACCACTAAACCACCATCACCCCTACCCAAAATTACAATAGTTTTGGGGATTTTTCCCTCCCTTAGCCCAAAAGTATGGCTACCTTGAAAGGTAGCATGACGCAGTGGAAAGTATACTAGAGAGCAAGAAACCAGTGTTTTAGTCTTCCCTTTACTCCTTGATAACAGGGTAACTTTAGGCAAGTCTTTCATTTCTCTGAGCCTCACCTTCCAGGGCTTCAGTGGGAAAGCACGGTGCTCAAAATACTGAACTTCGGTACCAGTTAGTAAATATCCACTGTCCTGAGTCTCCCAAGGGCTCCCCCTTCTCCAGTCCCTCCTGACAATCTACTAACTAAATGGTTAATACTTTACTTAGCTGAGGTTCTTAAAGACCCAGAACCAGCCCCCTCCTTCTGATTGACTGGTGCCCATGATATACAAGTTGTTAATATTTTTCACTTATTCTCTCATTTATACCTGTGAAATGAGCATCATAATACTTCTCACTCTTCCAAGACTACTGTGAGACTCAAAACAAACTATCAATACTGTACTGCATTTCAAATGCAAGGATAATTATTATGATTTCCCCTGTTACAGAGTGATCTTCCTGTGCCTCTTTTGGCTCCTCTAGCTCCCAGTGGTGCTGAGTACAGCACACTGCCCATGGGAGGCACTCAGAACGTGATGCTAGCATTCCAACTGACCTCTCTTGGGGACAGCTGGCCGGATGAAGTAGGGGAGCTGCCTCATGGCCCCTCGTAGCTCCTGCTTCAGTGCCAGGACGTATTCCCCTTCCTCTCCAGAGGGCAGAGGCACTGGGTGGAACTCCAAGAGCTAAGGAGGCAGGTGGCAGTGGTCAGCTCATCACTGAACACAGGGCGAAAAGAGAATGAACAGGAAGGACAGAGTAATCTGAAAGCTAGGGAGCTGGGAATGTGAGAAGTAAGGGTGGACACTTCCTTGCCTGGAAAACATCCCAAGTGAGTCGGGAGGATAGAGAAAGGGAGGGGCAAGATGAAGATAGTTTAATGATGGCCCAGGAGGAATCCAAGATCATATACAGTCAGCCAGGGGCACATGGGAGTCTTGGGAAGGGAGGGGAGACACTCACAGGGAAGAGTGGAGAAGGCTGCAGGGTGGGTGGAGGCAAAGCATCCCCCTTCCCAATGCCCACTGCCTCTACGTTGAAAGTCAACTGGCCCCGGCCACGACCCCGGCCCCCACCCCGGCTGGCCATGGTCGGGGGGTCCTGGGTATTCAGAGATCTAGCGAGATAAACCTGATAAAGACAAAAAAAAAGAGAAAAACAAGTACTGTAGAATAGATAGAAAGCCAAGGAAATAGAAGACACCTACTCCTCTCTCCTGGGGACCTGGGAAGCCAGTGTCATTCAACAAATTTTGACTGAGACAGCACAGTGTCAGACAGGGATTAGTTGCTGGCAATATAAACATGGATGAGTATGTCCCAACAGGATGGATAACTGCAATATAGTGTAATGATGGTACAATGGAGAAGGTGATTAGCCCCTTGGATAAAACTTCCCTATATTCCTAAAATGGAGCCCTGGTGGCACAATGGTTAAGAGTTCGGCTGCTAAACAAAAGGTTGGCAGTTCAAATCCACCAGCTGCTCCTTGGAAAGCCTGTGGGGCAGTTGACTCTGTCCTATAGGGTTGCTATGAGTCACAACTGACTTGATGGCAACGGGTTTGGTTTGGTTTATATCCCTAAAATAATTTAATGTTTATCATCATCTACATTTCCACATATGACCTTTGACTTCTTTCTCTGCCTGGCCTTCCAAACCCAACTAGACCCCAATTTGATCAATATATTGATTTTCAGAAAAACATTTATTAAGCATCCACCATGAGAAGGGCAGGGTGTCAGGCATAGTGGGGGCACCGAGATGAGTCACCAGTCTCCCTGTCAACAGAGCGGAAAAGAGAGATTACAACTAAATTGATCTTTTTAAACACCACTTAGAAGAATAGAATCCTAGAGTTGGAAGGAATATTTACGGTCATCTAGTTCAAAACCTCTTCCAGTGCAGAACTCCACTCTATAGATTGTTAGTCATTCAGCTTCTAATGGCATTTTCCTAAAGACAAGGTGCCCATTCTTCCCTAAGGAAGCCCATTCCATTGTGGTCAACTCTGATGATTGGAAAGTTCCTCTTTCTACTGAATTGAACTCTGCCTCTTGTCATCAATCATGAGGGACCAGTAAGAGGCAGCTACGATGGGGGCTAAAGTTATCAAATGAAAATGAGACTTATAAGAAGAGAGCTAACTGAAAGAGTTCCCAGTGGCTAAAGCTGGAACAATCTGAAGAACAAAATAAATAAAGTAGTCCTGGATTATCACCTAAAATATAAATAAATATCCATGAGTCTATACTGATATAAATGATTGAACAAATTAATAAATGGGGGAGAAGAGACAAATATCCCACATAGAATTCCAAATAAATTATGCAGATATTCAATCCTAAATGACAGAGTCATGGATTGAATTGTGTCCCCCCAAAATATCTGTCAACTTGGTTAGGCCATGATTCCCAGTATTGTATAACTGTCCACTATTTTGTCATCTGCTGTGATCTTCCTATGTGTTGTAAATCCTAACTCTATGATGTTAATGAGGCAGGATTAGAGGCAGTTATGTTAATGAGGCAGGACTCAATCTACAAGATTAGGTTGTGTCTTAAATCAATCTCTTTTGAGATATAAAAGAGAGAATGGAGCAGAGAGACATAGGGACCTCATACCAGCAAGAAAGTAGTGCCAGGAGCAGAGCACGTCCTTGGGGCCCGGGGTCCCTGCACTGAGAAGCTCCTAGTCCAGGGGAAGATTGATGCCAAGGACCTTCCTCCAGAGCCAACAGAGAAAGAAACCCTTCCCCTGGAGGTGACACCCTGAATTTGGACTTCTAGCCTCCTGGACTGTGACAGAATAAACTTCAGTTTGTTGAGGTCATCCACTTACGGTATTTCTGTTACAGTAGCGCTAGATAACTAAAACAGAGGGGAAACATAACTTCCTATAAGCAACCCACACTTAAGCATATAAAGACTTCCAAAGAGTACAGTATGGAAGGGGTGGGGGCAAGGAAGTAACTTTACAGTGAAGAAATCTGACAAACACTACTTCAGCCAAGTGATCAAGGTCAATAGCCAGTCATGCTGATAGTATGTACCCTTGATGTGATGTGATGAAAATGGCACTTTACCTCTGTGATCCTCCTTCCAAAAATATATACATAAGCCCATCTAATCATGAGAAAAATATCAGACAAATTCCAATAGAGGGACATCCTACAATATACCTGACCAGTACCTCCCAAAACTGTCAAGGTCATCAAAAGCAAGAAAATCTGAGAAACTGTCACAGCCAAGAGCAAACTAAGGAGACATGACAACTCAATGTAATGTGTTATCCTGGATGGGATTCTGGAGCCAAAAAAGGACATTAGGTAAAAACTAAGAAACTCTGAATCAAATATGGACCTTTGTTAATAATAAAAGTATTAATAATGGGTTCATTAATTGCAACAAATGCACAATACTAATGCAAGTCACTACTGATAGGAGAAACTATATGCTGGAGATATGTAGGAATTCTCTATATTATCTGTTCAATTTTCCTGTAAATCTAAAACTGTTCTAAATATATATATATTAATAAAAAATAATAAAACTTGAGTAGCAATGCAAAGTTCACAAAAGATTAGTTGGTGAAAAAAAGATTTGAAAGCAATATGCCCCTCCTTAACACTAACCCTTTTTAGTGTTCAATGCTGTACTGCCTCTTCCCCCAAAACAACGTCTTATACACGTTACACTCATTCCCAGTTATGCATACCTGTGTATTGTGGTGGAAGTTACTAAGAAGCAGGTTTCAACAGAAAAACACTCTAGCAACTATATCAAATTTAAGGCAGACAGCACAGCGTAGTAGTGGTTAAGAATGTGGATTTGAATTCCAGTCCCATTATTTTCTAGCAATGTAATCTTTGGCAATTTATTTAATTTCTCTAAACTTGTTTCCTCATCTATAAAACTGGACTAATAAAATACCACTTTAATTCATTCAACAAATATTTATTGAGGGCTTACTATGTACCAGGCAGTGTTTTAGGTGCTAGGGATACAGAGGTGAGCAAAATGGACAAAAATCTGCTGCATCCACAGGGTTTAAATGGAGCTTATAATCTAGTGGAATCATTTGTATATAAATGGTATTTTGATATTTCAAGACATGAGACTCAATGTGAACAGAGAAAAGAAGAGATCCAGGGACTGAAAGTTGGGGCACTCTAATGTGTAGAGTTTGTCATATTTGTAATAGATAAGGTGAGGAGTTAACATTCTTATTATACTAGAACTCTTGGAAATCCAAACTTAAAAATCACCCCAATAGAAAAAAATGGGCAAAGGACATGAATAGGCAATGACAAGAGAATGGTCAATAAACCCACCCTTCATCTATCAAATTGAAAAAGATTTAAATAAAAATCATGCTGTCATGAGTTTTGTGAGATGGGCACTCATACCTCACTGGAAGGACTATAAACAAATACAATTTTTCAGGGAAACAATATGCATCAACAGTCTTTTAAATGCTTATATCCTTAATCCAGGAGTCCCTGGGTGGTGCACAAGTTAAAGTGCTTGGCTCCTAATCCAAAGGTTGGCAGTTCAAGGTCATTCAGAAGTGACTCGCCTGGCAATCTACTTCCAAAAAAATTAGCCATTGAACACCCGTGTGGAGCAAATTCTACTGTGACAACACTTGACTACTTGATGGCAATTGGTTTTTTTTATACTTAATCAAGTAATCCATCCTAAAGTAACCATCAGATATATAGTCAGAAATATAGGTTCAAGGATATTCATCAAAGAGTTATGTACGGTAGCAGAAATTCTAAAACAATCTAAATGATCCAACAACAAAGGAATGGTTAAAAAAAAATCCATTTTAAACTATTATGTAGCCATTAAATCATGACTTTAAATAATTTTTAAAGGCAGAAAAATGCTTACAATATAAAGTGGGGGAAAAACGTGACATAAAATTGTATTTATGCTGTGGCCATACAGAAAAGAAACTGAAAGGAGACACTGAAATATTAATAATGGTTATCACTACATCATGGTTGTGGAATGATGATAAATATTTTTCTTTATACCTTTGTTTCCAAATTCTTTACATAAATGTATATTACTTAATGTTATGGATTGAATTGTGTCCCCAAAAAATATGTGTTGTAATTCCTAACCTCTATGCCTGTGGTTATAATCCCATTTGGAAATGGGTTGTCTTTGTTATATTAATGAGACAGGATTAGTGTAGGGTGTATCTTGAATCAATCTCTTTCGAGATATAAAAGAAATTAAAAGAAAGCTAGCAAGCAGAGACGGAGGAGATACCAAGCCACATGAATATTGCTCAGGAGCAGAAGCTCAGAAGAGACAAAGACTTTCCTCCAGAGCTGACAGAGAGAGAAAGCCTTCACCTAGAGCCAGTGCTCTGAATTCGGACTTCTAGCCTCCTAAACTGCGCGAAAATAAATTTCTGTTTGCTAAAGCCACCCATTTAAGGAATTTGTTATAGCAGCACTAGATAACTAAGATACTTCTGTAATCAGAAAACAAAAATAATGATTTTCTTTGTTTCTATGAAGGCTACCAGTAGGGCACATCTCCCTCTTTTTCAATGGAGGTGTGAAATCCATTTCATTGAGCTATATATTTCTTGTTTAGGATATTTGTTTGATATTGACTGAAAAACAAATATCCAAAAATGACATGACCTGCAAAGTGAGATAGTGAGTTCTCTTACTAAAGGTGTTTAAATAGAGGCTAGATAACAATTTACCAAATATAATTTATCAGAGGAAGGATTCATACTTATTGGAGAGGATTCACTATGATCTCCATTGTCTAGCACTGTGTGTGGCATATAGTGAGTGTTCCATAAATATTTGTAGGATGAATGAATACATGATTTCTAAGTGCCCTTAGAAACTTGAGACCTTGTGATTAACAAAGCTTCCCCTCACCCTCCCAGTCCTCCTTGCTCTCTCCCTTCTCTGGACTGTGGGAAAAATCATATTATGAACCAAGAATTTAAGTGCCCTTGATTATATACTATATTGTCTTTTATTGTTCTCTAATTACAATAAAAGGCAGTACAGTATATAGGAGTTTAAATCTTGCCTCCTTATAAAGAGTGCTGGTTCCTGGAAATCAAGTCTATTCAATTAACTCTTACTGAGCACTACGTATTAAGTACTAGTTCTTGCCCTTCAAAACCTTAGAGTGTAAGAATAACCCGTTGCGGTTGAGTCGATTCCGACTCATAGCGACCCTACAGGACAGAGTAGAACTGCCCCATAGGGCTTCCAAGGAAGCCTGATGGATTCGAACTACCGACCTTTTGGTTAGCAGCCGAACTCTTAACTACTAGGCCACCAGGCTTTCCCTAAGAATAGAAACATCTAAAGAAAGTGAGCGTATGCAAGAAGTATGCATAAAATGCCTTCTAAAGTCAGACAGAGGAACAATTAATTCTGCAAGAAAGGGGTCCAGGAAAGCTACATTTCAGTATTTCAGGCGAGCCTTGATACATAAAACAGGAGTTTATCAGGATCTTAAGACACGGGAATAATATTAATAGATTGGGGGTAGGGAGGCCGATGCCACTGCAAAGAGTCAGAGGTGCAAGAGTGAGCCTTTCTCACTTTCTGCTTTAAACCTCCTTCCTATTGCGCGAAACACAGTATGGTCCGCTGGCATATAATCGACATAGCAATGGGAGCCAAGGCAGAAAGGGTAGGAAGCTAAACGGGGCTGACCAAACAGGACACTGGAAAGCGTTGCCTATCCCGCAGCCCAGCCCCGTTGAACTTGTCAAGTAAGTGTGGGGCCGAACCAGATCAAAGTCCCCCGGTCCGAGTCTTACCTGCCGCCCCTCCCCCAAGCGGAACCCACACTGCAGCCAGCTTGAAATTTGCTGGTTGTCCACCGGACCTTGGCGTTCTAGGCCCGCCTCTCTGAGCTCCCCATTGGTGGGTTCTCCTGGCCAATGTAGGAGAAGCCGGGGAGGGACGTCCGCCCACTGGAGCCGAGGAGGTGGAGGGAGAATGCGAGCCAGCCTCAACCTAGGCTTGGGAAACAGGTTGCGGAGAGAGATGGAGTTGCGGAATCAACCAGGGGTCAATTAGTTGCGTCCTCACCCCGGATGGAGGAGCACCTGGCTAGCGAGAGTTCACAAAGGAACCTGACACTCAGATCTCACCGAGGGACTCTGTTGCGAGGGAGGCCCCACTGAGAGGCCAACCGACGAGAGCCCCTACAGAGAAATGAACCTCTATGAAAGTGCTCTTATGGATCAGCCTTTCTGTGACCCTGGCTTCACAGCTTGCCCTCTCCTCCATTACTCCCACCTACCCTTCAGTGCTACACTGCCCCCTCCAGCACCACCAATGGATACTTCTTTTCTAAAAACATTTTTCTGTGGGTTGCTGCCATGTCTGTGAGAAAATGGGATGCAGGTTTGGGGAAGGAAGGACTGACGATCAGAGAACAAGTATTGGGGAGGCAGGGCAGGATCCCGGATTTCCCGCATTTTCCACTGCTTTCCTAGCGCCCTGTAAAGGGAAACAGGGTGGAATGGGGATTTCTATTCTCATAGAAAACAGAAACAGAGGACAAGAGGTCAAAGTCAAGATAAAATCTAGGAGTTAATCAAGAAGAATTCCCCAGATGTCAGAGAAAATGGTGCTGGGAGTGAAGCCTCTGGACTGGGGGGCTGTAGGTGTAGTGGCAAGTGCCCCATCTTTGGAATAGGACGGAAACATAGCTTCCTTAACCTTACTAAGCCTCAGTTTCCTCATCTGTAACAAGAAGATAATAATTCTTACTTTATACAGTTGCTGTGAGGATTGCAGATAATGTGTGTAAAGCACTTGGCACGTAGTTGGTGTTCAATAAACGGTAGCTTATAAAATCTGTAGCTTCCCTGCAAATATTTCTTTCTCTCCTCTTTCCCCAGACACATTATTTTAATATCTTGTGTCTGGTGGCCTCTAGCTTCTGAGAGATATCACCAGACCCCAGGTGAGCTTTCCAAATCCTTAGGATAGTGTTCTCATCCCTCACTTCCCCGGGTGTCTCCCAGCTGGACACAAACTCATTCCTAAAAGATGCAGATGGAAGCTATGGTAACCATGGAAACAGGGCAGGTGGCAAGGAGAGGCACAGACAGACAGGGGGAGAGACCCATAGAGACAAATAGGGAGAGAGAAGACAGTGATTGGGACAGAGACCTTCAAGCAAGATGAAAAAATAATGAATCTAAGCAAGGCTAAGATTAAAGATATGCAATGAGAGACAGTGTGTTACAAGGTTAGCTCTTTTTCATACCCTTTTCTATCCTCCCCACTCCCCCACCACCAAGGATTTGGGGAGAAGGCATCTGGGAATGCCCCTTGCTTGCTATATCTAAAAATGACGCCAGATACCCACCCTCCCCATACTAAGAGATCTACGCAAGGGAGCTGAGGTCGAAGCTTGTCTGTGATGTGTGTTCCATTTGGGGGGAGATGGGGTGGAGATGTACCGCTGTGTCTGACTCCTAACTGGACCGTGTTCTCTGACATTTAAACTACAAGAAGGCAGCCAGATCTCTTGCCTCTCTCGGCACATTATGGACACCGGTTCTCTCCACCCCTCTGCACAGTATGCCATGTGCTGTGTGTGGCAGGTCAGGTCTGGCGCACAGGCGCACATAAACACACGAAGCGCCGAAAATGGGGATCTGCTGAAGCTCGGAGAGGAATCGGGATGGTCCGGGTCTGGGTTCGCGGAGGAGTTCACTAAGGAACACTCAGGTTTGTTGGGGCCGAGGGGAGGTCGACTGGGAAAGGGAAGTCGGGATTGGAGCCTCTAGGTTTTGAGGGTTTATGTGTACACGGTTGGGGGAGCGGCTTGGTGCCGGACGCCCCCACCCGCA